TAAGATATAGGAAACCACCCATGACAGAAGCAAAAGGTAGCCCCAGAATGGTATTGAAGGGAGATCCCAGGATAACAGCTGTACACCAGGCCTAAAAAGCAAGCCAAACACAGGACTCTGGGAGCAAGTTCGTCAAGAAGATTAAACTGACAGACTATTTGATGCATATGACCACAGTGAGAGGAGATTTAGACAACTGGTAGAAAGTTTGGGATTGATTTAGTGATGCATACATAAAAAACAAAGCCAACCAAAACACAACAGTTACTAACTTCAGGGAAAACAAAGAGTTGTAACAAGAAAAATCACAGTATACTACATGACTCAGTGGTGAATAACATTTGCAGTCATAATAACCTAAACCAGAGGTCAGCAAACTACAGGCTGCAGGCCAGCTGCCTGTTTTTATAAATAAATTTTACTGAAACACAGCAATACCCATTTATTTACTTATTGTCTATGGCTGCTTTCATGCTACAACATCTATGTTAAGTAGGTATGACAGAGACCACATGGCCTGCAAGCCTAAAATATTTACTATCTTGTCCCTTTAAGAAAAAGTTTGCTGATCCCTGATCTACACACTCGGTGGTGAAATTCCACTTCCAATATGTCAAAGTATACTCCTAACACACTGATCCTCTGCAGATAGCAACTATAAACCCTGGTTAAAACATAAGGGCTCCAGAGTTTTTTTAAAAAAAAAAAAAGGCAAGCAGATTTTGAAGGAGAGTTGAAACTTAAGTTAGGAAGGGACCAATTATCAGGTGAGTTGCTTTGCTCATTTTTATGACTTTATCCTAAGGGCAGAATGCAGTCACAGGGGCTAAAACTTCAATAGAAAACCTGCCATCTTCCTGGCCGGAAGAAACAGAGGACAGAGCCCAGAACAACCATAGCTGTCATAAAAAGGAGTCAGAGAGGAGCCCCAATTTCTATGTATAAACACTACCCAAGTCTCTGGATAACTCCTTAATCACACATTCATGGAACAGAACCAAGCATTCTGCATCTAAGGCTAAAAAGAAATGAACTGAGATCTGAGCTGCTACCCATCACAAGTGAAACAATTTGTAATTTGAGTCTAACCAAGTTAACTGCCTGCTAAAAATAATCTGTCAACATTCCTTAGAGGAATAAAACATAATCCAGGGTCTCCACAACATAACATTACCAATTAAAATTAAATCGGGGGTGGGGGAGAGGACTAAATAGACAATAGATAAGTGGTAATTTTGGTGAAGGGTAAGACAGTACACATTACTGGGGAAACCAGCACAACTTGTACAAGGAAGGTCATGGAAGCTCAACAGACACATCCAAACTCCTTGAGGGACTGAATTGCTGAGCGGAGGGTTATGGGGACCATGGTCTCGGGGAACATCTAGCTCAATTGGCATAAAAGTTTATAAAGACAATGTTCTATATTTTACCTTGGTGATAGCGTCTGGGGTCTTAAAAGCCTGTGAGCAGCCATTTAAGATACTCCACTGGTCTCACCCCTTCAAGAGCAAGGGAGAATGAAGAGAACAGGATACAAGGAAAAGATCAGTCCAAAGGACTAATGGACCACAGCTACCATGGCCTCCACCAGACTGAGTCGGTACAGCTAGATGGGGCCCAGCTACCACCACTGACTGCTCTGACCAGGATCACAATAGAGGGTCCTGGACAGAGCTGGAGAAAGATGTAGAACAAAATTCTAACTCACAAAAAAAGACCAGATTTACTGGCCTGACAGACTGGAGAAACCCCAAGGGAATGGCCCCCGGACACCCTTTTAGCTCAGAGGTGAAGTCACTCTCAAGGTTCACCATTCAGCCGGGGATTGGACAGCCCCACAAAACAAAACGGGACTAATGAGGCACAGCAGTCCAGGGACAAGGACTAGAAAGTAGGAGGGGACAGGAAAGCTGGTAATAGAGAACCCAAGATTGAGAAGGAACAGTGTTGACATGTCATGGGGTTGTTAACCACTGTCATAAAACAATATGTGTACTAACTGTTTAATGAGAAACTATTTGTTCTGTAAACCTTCATCTAAGGTACAAAAAAAAAAAAGAATTATCTATGTGAGATCAAATTGACAACAGCAACTCAAAAGGTTTGATGGGAAGCCTTGGGGGCTGTGAGTTGAAGACAATGGTGATGGAATAATTTGGAAAAGGATAGTGAGAATAGCAGCACAACTGGAAGAATGTAATCGATGTCACTGAATTGCACATGTAAAAAACTTTTGAAATGGTGTAACTGTGGCTATGTGTATTTTCACCAAGAAACTACAAGGTCAAGAAGGGAGAGTGTTGACATGTCATGGGGTTGTTAACCAATGTCATAAAACAGTATGTGTACTGTCTGTTTAATGAGAAACTATTTGTTCTGTAAACCTTCATCTAAAGTACAATAAGAAAAATTTTTTTAAATAAATAAAATCCGAAATTACTCAGTATATGATAAACCAGGGAAATGTGACCTACTCTCAAGAGAAAAAATCAAAACATGCCAACCCTGAGGCGACCCAAATATTGGAATTACCAGGACTTTAAAGCAGCTTGCTTTAAATCAATGAAAAGACAGGAAATCTCACCAGAGAAATAAAAAATATCAAAAGAACCAAATGGAAATTCTAAACATGAAAAATACAACATCTGAAATAAATTCGCTGGGTAAGCTAAATGGCAGAAGGTAGATAACAGAGGAAAGAGTCAGTGAACTTGAAGCTAGATCAATACAACTTATACAACCTGAAAAAAAGATTTAAAAAATGAACAAAGTCTCAGAGACAAGTAGGACATTATCAAAAGGTCTCACATATATGACATTGAAGTCATGTTCAGAAGGAGAGAAAGAATGGAGCAGAAAAACATTTGAAGAAATAATGGACAAAACCTTCCCAAACACAGTTATAAAGACATAGATTTACAGATTCAAGAAGCTCTGTGAACTCCACAATTATGAAATAGCAATACTAGGATGAGGATGATTCAGGGGAACGGAAGCTTGCATGTGCGTGAGTGAGAATGAAAGGGGAGGAGGGTATGGGGAGAGCAGAGCAGTTCAGTAAATGGAAGCTACATTCTCATATTCTATAATGAGAAGCCAACAGTTAATACCTAAAATTGAAAGATCAAGACATGTCCAACTAACTTGTTTAGAAAAAAGGGGAGAAACACCTTATGAATCTGCTAAGGGTTGAAAGTAGTTGCCTCAAGGAAGGGGAAAATGGGGGTGGTGAGAGAGGCATAGGATTACTCTAATCTGTAATAAGCCTTGTACAAGTATTTGACCCTTTGAACTATGTGCATTTAACTCTGAAAGAAATAAAAACTAAACTTAAAAGATTTATATACTATTGTCTATTTTAAGAAGTGGTGTAATAAATATCTACTGGAAAATACGTAATACTGAGTTATTAGAAAAGCATTAAGATTCTAATTAATATTTATCTTTAAACACACGTAAAGGTGGTAAAAAAAATATATAAAAATGGGCCTAAAGAATATTAAACAATTAGTCTAAACACCATTTGAGACTCTATTTCCTCTTTCAGTTTCCTTCCACTGAGTTTTCAAGGCAAATCATATTTCTGGGAAAAAATGGGTTTGACGTAGACAGGTGCTTGTTATTTCTGACTTTGTGACCTCAAAGAATGCATGGACTAGGCATGGAGAAGTAGAAGGTGGCAATGGCACTATGTGGATTTGAATGGTGCATACTGAGTGGACTAAAATCGACTTCTGAAAAACATGCAGAGTGGATTAAAATACAATTCTCTCTATTCTATGAACGTTTTAGGAAAGTCTGCTTCAGTCCAGTACTCTTTTGTGCTAAACAGAAATGACTATTGAGTTTTCAAAATAGCTATAAAATTAAACATGTTCTTGTGCCTCTATAACCCCAAGTCAAAATCAGCTTAAGTAAAAATTCTCTTCTGTACAAATGCTAAGTTTCGATATTAATCATATTTCATTTCACCTCTTACCACAGTGTCAATTATTCATAATTACATCAGCAATAGAAAGAAAATGTATATATTATTTACAAGGCTGTTTAGTAACTAACTCAAAATTTGTGCTTAACATGTATGATTTAAGTCCCTCTGCAGTTAAGGCAACTACAATATTATATGCTCAATGGACTTAGGTGCTAAACTAGATTTTGGTTGCTATGACCATCAATCATGTTTTAAATCTGGTACAACTGACAGTTCTCTGCAACTTTAAAATTGTTACTAACATTCACTCACAGATATTTTCAATTTTTGGATTTATGATATTTGATCCTCAAGTAATGGTATTTTCGGAAAAATACATGCCAAACAGACATGAATGCCAGATAATAGCCTGGTAAACATCCTCTGAAGGCAAAGCTTTTTTAGACTTTATATTTAGAGGAACATGAACAAAACTAAATTTTCAAATCCACCTGTCTCAGAAATAGGATTATGGATGATTTTTAAAACCAATTTTCTACACCTTCTACGTTATTATGGATCCCTGGTTTTAAAAATGTTAGAAATTGCTAACAGCAGTTTCTTATGGGGAAGAAACTGCATGTGTAGGAAACAGGGAAAGGAAACAGACCTTATGAATTGTATATACGGTGTGTGTGAATTTTAAATATATGTTTAAAATCGTCAGGATGAGTGGGTTACATTATTATATTGGTGAAAGGTTTATTTTACCAGGGAGATGTTTAAGGGAAATTTGGTTAAGTAACAACCTAAAGAAAATGAGGTAGCTATTAATAAGACAATTTTCAGTTGTCTTTTTGACAGCTGGAAGCAAGCTATGCTTAAATTAAAGAATTTAGAAGTATTTAAATTGTTGTCTTTCACGGATGCAAACTTTCAAAATTTATTGTAGTTCTTCCAGAAACTGATGCCTAAAAGAAAAATTCTACCTTCTATTAAAATAGACAGAAGTGAAGTGGCTAAACTTGGCTTCATTCCCAAGGGCTACCTATGTAAGCAGAGACAAGTAGCTACAGCTGTGACATACCTGAAGGAGCAGAAAGCCACCACCTACTGCAGTTGCTGCAAGTTTTCCAACTTTCTGGAACAAAAATCCAGCACACCTTTAATGAAAGAAATGACAAAATATGAGAATGATCAACGATGTACTAAACCCTTTTCCCTCGTCTAGTTTTCATAGCTTTCCTGGGAAAATCTTAACATCATCCTATTGCTTTTGATTATGTCCTCCACCTGCTCAGAAACCCTTGATGTTTCTTTTCAGTTAAGTCAAAAATGCACAATGTGAAATGTTTGAGATTTGCTTCAAAATAAGTGATGGAGAGAAGGATTTAGAAGAAGACTGGCTACTGAAACTGGATGATGGGTACTCAGGGGTTCCTTGTACTCTTCCCTCTATTTTTGTCTAAGCTGAAATTTACCATAACAGTGCTTTGTTTTTTTAATACAGTCAAGATAGTCCACACATCTGGCCAATTTCCACTCTACCCAAACTCTGTTCCAACCCAACTAGCTTCCAAATAGGTCATCACCTTTGATCAAGTTAGTAATCTCCCTGCTTCTAGGGGTTTCTGCCTAGCTCTACCTATCTAAAGCTTTCCTACCCTTTAAGGTCCAACTGGAGTTCTACCTTCATGATTACTTCAGCCCACCTTTCTCATGACTTCCTTATCTGTATCTATCTTTATATTAAACCTGTTTTGTCTCATCTATCCTGTAAGAATGTCAACTCCCATACTTCTTTAGTGATTAATTCTCTCCTTTAGTGAACTCACACATTCCCTTCAGCATTCCAGATCCCTACTGTGCAAAAGAAGCCCTGGTGTCACAATGGTTAAGCACTTGGCTGCTAACCTAAAGGTCAGTGGTTCAAACCACCAGTGGCTCTGTGGGAGTAAAGACCTGGTGATCTGCCTTCCTAAAGACTACAGCCTAGGAAACCCTATAGGGCAGTTCTACTCTGTCATACAAGGTCACTATGAGTTGAAATCTACTCAGTGGCACACAACAACAGTGTACAAAAGAACCCCAGATTTCTAAGTCTAGCCTTCCTAAATGGTAAATTTACATTTTCCAATTACATTTTGGACTTCTCTAGCACCCAGAACCACACATTAAAAATGCCCCAAAGCAAGCATCACCTTTCCAACCAAACCAACTGTTGCTAAGGTCCCAATTTGTAAGCGACAGCACCATTCTCCAGGCTTGCTACCTCATGTTCATCTCAGACTTAGCCTTGTTCATCCTTTTCTTGGTCCAACTTATGGCCAAGTTCTACATACTCTATCTCTATAACATTATTTGACCCTGTCTTCTTTCCGCTCTTGAGGGCATCATTACCTTGCTTCCAGACCACTCTAACTGGTCTTCCCAACCTCCAGTCTCTCTTGGAAACCACCCATCTTGATGTCAGTTTTATCTTTATTATGCTCCAAAACCTGTAGCTACTACAGCTAAATATAATCTCTTTAGCCTCCCATACACGTCCTGAATTGGTCTGAATTGTTAACTGGTTAGGTTAATGCTTATTAACCTTTCCTCTTTAACGTATGCCACAAATTATTACATCAGTTTCATACCTTTAGAAAATTGCAAAAATTTACTACACTGAATCTATAGTCATTGCAGCAAATCACTGTATAGTATTAGAGTCCTACTGTACAGCTCCCAGGCTAGCACCCAGCTATAACTCAAATGTATGTATTACCATAAAGAACGTATCCCTCAGTAAGTGGACTCAGCATCAAATGCTCAGAAAAGGAAGTGGAAGAGGCAAACAGCAGCCAGCTCTCAGGTCTCAACAATATCCTGGAGAGCGTGCTCCACAAGCATGTGTATCATGGCATTAGCCACTAAAATGAACCTACTAACTCCCCCTGCTCTGTCTCTCCAAGCAAACATCTGACAATTATGAGGCCTACAAATAAACAATGATTTGATAATTCTATTTCTCAATTATTTCTTAGTCTCTTTTTTTAAGATTGGGCATTAGGCCTGACTCACTTTACCCAATCATCTATGGCACCAAATTGTGAGCGTATATAAAGAGGGTCAGACCCTAAATTAGGGGATCAAGGTACAACCAGCCTGTGGAGACCTGTCTGAATGACCAGGGCCGTGAACAGACATCTCTCTTCTAACTGTGGGCTTTTTTCATACAGCAGCATTAACAAATATACTTAATGAATAAATACTGCACCTCTCCATTACAGAATCTTCCCATAAAATGACATTTACAAAGAGGCATGGAGGAGTGTGCCACTGTTCAAAGCGTGTGTAAAGCACAAATCAAAAAAATTTTATACTTACCAAGTATAAATATTTAAATTAAATCAATGCAAGATAAATTTAACTTAGAATCTAAGAAAAAAGTGATTATTTGGAAGCACTCTCATTACAAAAATTCTCCATGGTCATGTAAATTTCAAAATCAAGGGTCAGACTTGTTTCTAATCCTTGTTATTTGGCCAATCTTTTATTCCAGGAATAACCGAATTAGATCCATAGTAGCAATGATGTAATCGTGTGGTCCGAAATTGTTAACTGGTTAGGTTAATACCTATTAACTGCTCCTCCTTAATGTACTTCACAATATTAGAAAGTAAGCAGTCAGCCCTTTAATTCCAACACAGAACCACCATTCTACAGCTCCTCTTCAAAGCATTGGTGTAATCAGAACCAGCCCACAAAAATGAACAGAACCATCTTTATCAGCATCAATAATTTTTACTGAGGATTTTATACCGCTCCCTATAGCACTGACAATCCGGGAAACCAGTTCTACTGTGTGAGTTTCTCACAGGTTTTTCCAGTTGTTAGCAATGGATGACAAGTAAAAATTATTAACATATACCAAACCAAAAACCAAACCCGTTGCCGTCAAGTTGATTCTGACTCATAGCGACCCAACAGGACAGAGTAGAAACGGCCCACAGGGTTTCCAAGGAGTGGCTGGTGGATTCAAGCTGCCAACCTTTTGTTTAGCAGCCTGAGCTCTTAACCACTGCGCCACCAGGGCTTCATTTACATATAATTAACTATTAATTTTTTTTTCCTATTTACTGTCACTGAATCAGATCCATTGCATATGCTGAACCTGAGAAACCGGAAAATATATAAAGAAAGGAAGGGTGAGGAGGGAACAGTGGTACCATGGCGGGCATGAGGGAGGGAAATTACCAAAACTAACACTAAGTCTGTGTATAGATGACACCAATCATATTACAGAAAAGCCTCAAAACCTTGCTCTTTTGGGATTAACAGTGTAAACCCACTGAATATGTATTATGAGTCTGGCCCACCTACAAAAGGGCAGCAGTCAGGCTCCTAAGAAATTTAACGAAAAAGATGTTCTTCTCACCAGCCAGTCACTCCACCCATCACAATCTGAGTGGCTACTGAGTACTTTTCTACCATAGGTCCCGAACTGTGACCAAACACTCGATTCCACCAATGGTGTCTTCTTGCATATTCAGTTAAATCCAACACTTCGTAAGACTCGTCATCACTTTCATACTCTTCAAAACACAAAAACAGAAAAAGATAAATTTAAAGGCAATCAAAATGTTCCTTCATTTTTTTTTTTAATGTTACAATTCACTGTTACTTTTGGCCTACAGGTAAAAATTTCAAAGTGGAAACTGATGACTGTTACTAGGACCTCAAGAGTAAAAAGAGCCTAGAAATAATATGCCCATCTCCTTTCTAAAGGCCCAAGGACCAGCCTAGGGACACGGAGCCAGTCAGGTCAGAGTTACAGTGCAGTGAGGGGCCACCCCCCCAAATCTCAGTAGGGTCAGGACCAGAGCAAGGTCCATTTTCATGGGAGGAAGAGTGTCCTCCTCTCAAAGAACCAGTGAGGAGCCGGGGAGAAGAAATCACTTCAGAGTCAGACTTAAAAAACAATGTTTGAAGATGAGAGGCCGGAGGTGAAGGTAAGGCAGGGGGTGGGGCTATGTTGGGGACGAGGGTCGCGCACTTCCCGCGCTCCACCGAGAGGGGAGGACGAATACCTCGGAAGGGTTATTCAAACGGGAGGCCTCAAAAACAAAAAAACACCACACAGGCCCCAGAGACCCTGGGGAAGGGGAAGGAAATGCTGCCCCCGGAGCAAGGTCGGGGGTTGTGAGCCGCGTCCCAAATACTACTTCAGGACCAGGCCGCTCACCTTGGGGAGGGGGATTCCGGGTCGCCATGATTCCGCCGGCGGCCTGTCGAGGGTGGTCCTCGCCCACCCTCCTCTGTCTTACACTTTAAGGGCCGCTCTAGGCCGGTGCGGACGTCTATGGTCTCTTTTTTCGCCTTCTTCTCTTCCAGGCACGGCGTCCAGTCCCCGCCCACTCCTTGCCAGCGCGGGGCGTCCTGCGCAAGCGCAAGTCTCAAGGGTTGGGGAAGGGAGGTCTGCGGGCAGCCCCCCGTGAGGGCTTGTGGAAATTGTAGTCCATTGCTCTCCGCACTACTGGCCTCGCCTTCCCCTCCGCAAGAATTTCCGTAACCCTAGTTTTGTTTTAGACAGCCTCAGTGTTGGCGGTGGGCGTGGGGGGGAGGGACCTTCGTAGTTTAGAGCGAAAACCAGCTTGGCATTTTGAACAGTACCAGAATTCAAGCCCTTGGGGAAAAGGGCTTTTAAAAAGAGGTAAGAGAAGCTCAGTTTCAAACCACACTTTTCTAAGGAGGCAAGAGCTCACCAACCGAGGGAAAATTTTTCTAACGCGCTGCGGCAGAGAATTGGAACCTTTTTATCCACTCCGTCTCCACATGTTCCTTGCCAGGAGCTCCAGGGAAGCAGCAGAAGGGCTAGGAACTGGCCTGACACCAGTTACTCAAGAGGACATACTTTTTTTATCATTATAATTTTTATTATTTAAATCTGACAGAAATGAGGGTCAAGTTTCTTCACCCAGAAGCCCTGAGGGATTCTGTAGAATGAAGAACTACGTTGATGACCAAGCAACTAACTCAAGTTCACGGATATACGAGTCCCCAAACTTCTTTTGAACTTGCATTGCATCCGCGTTCGCTGTACAGTTAAAGCGCCTCGATATTAGTTTTAAAAAACAAGGAATCTTGCTGTAGATTGAATTACTTAAAATATTGACTTGCATATTTGAACTTGGCTTTTCAAATCCAGGGGCTTTAAATGCAAGGGTTAATTCTCTAATGTTCCTCAGCCTGTGGCCTCCAAAACGCAATTCTAAGGCTGTCTGGAGGTTTGTGCTCAAAACTCAAAGGACAGTTTCTTTGTGTAAGACTCCACTTTCCAGAAACAAAGACTTTAGGGGGCGTAACTCCGTATCTTCTCACTAAAATATTTTTCCAAAAGTTACTGATTCGAGTTCATACACTCCCTCCTCTCCATTACCCACCCATTCCTGTAAAGGTGCTAACAGAGAAATAGCCAAATAACGGGCTACTGAAAGAAGAGAATGGAGAAAAAGAGGAAAGGAAAATCATAAACTGGAAGAGCAAAATGGAGGGTTGACTGGGCCAATGACATTCAAGGGACACTTTCACAATATCTGCCAACTACAAAAAGAAGTCACTTTCATGTCAAGGAAATGACATTTACAATCAAATGGCTATGGAGAAATGAGGGAGATAATAGAAACAAAATGCTGCTCTTAGGATGCCAAAGAATAAACCTTAAACATCCAAAAGTTAATTAAAAATCGATCATTTCTCCAAAGACACTGAGCGCTGAAAAGAAAATTTTTAATGTGTTCTTCCCTTCCATCTTTAGTGATACGCCCTTGCCATTACATTAAGGAAGTTGTACAGGTAGTCCCCAACTTAAGACATAATCGAGTTACCACTAACGACACTTCTAACCATCCTTTTTTTTTTATCCATCTTATCATTAGTAATATGTACTAAATACAATGTTGCAGCATGTAATTTGCTGATGTTATCATTCTCAGATGTTCACTCCAAGATGTTCAATTTTATGATTAACTCTTCAAAACACTGCCATATAGATTTAGTTTTCTAAACTAGATCAGGGGCTTCAGTTGCTTGAAAACATGGACCCAAATGCTGATAGCTTTGCTAAAGTCAACAGGCAGATTCAGGAAGCAATGAGATGTTACCAGGAAATACATGAAGAAAAAAAAGAAAAGGACCATACAGACAACTCTTGACTAATTTTCTGACTAGAAACACTATCCCCATTCCCAGCGATAATCCAGATGATCCAAAACCTTCCATCAGTGGAGTTATTATTGCAGCTGACAAAATGCCAACGTCATCCAACTCTTCTTCATCTTTGGAGTAAATTTTTATGATCTCTGTATTTTTTAATGTATGTATGTATTAAAATATATCTGTACGTTTATATATGATGTTTCCAACCCCCAAAGACAAATAAAGACTCGATTTATAAAGATACTGACAATAAAAAGGAATAAGAATTAAAACAAAAAAAAATGAGGTATTTGACTTACATCAGAACTGACGTGTTGGAACAGAACCCCATTGTAAATCAGGATAATGTATTTTTCTAGTGTAGATTTTTTCTTTCCCAGTAGCAAAAAAAGCTGTCATTTTGTTGCCTGAATGAAGAGTGGTTTAATGTGTACCTAAATTGTATACACAGACTTTACAAAGTGCTGTGATCAGTCTGATATTCTCCAGGGGGTGGTGTGTGTTTTTTTTTAAATTCCCGTTTTAAAGAGTGTAAGTAATTTTCTTTTCAGTCAGCACCAATAAACATTTTCATTACGAACACTGGTATCATCTTATCTACAACTATACCAAAGCATAATTCAGGGAGTCCTCAACTTTTCAATGGGTAGTGTCCCAAAAGTTCATGAGTAACTTATTTGGAATTGAGAATATTTTCTATTTAATCCATAAGGAATCTTTAATGAAACTCTTGGCCCCTATTTGGTCCTGATCTTCACCTTTCCTTAACATCTCAGTCCTTGGAAACCTCATTTGTTAAAAACTATTTAATCAGAATTGAGAAAAGCAAAAAGTCGACAGAACAAACAGAACACTTCACACTGCCTGAGCAATCTCGTCTCCCCCATTGGCTACAACTGTCACTCCAGATTAGATGTCTGCATTTGAATGACCTGCAAATTCGAACAACTTCACCCTATCTGTCATGGATTGAATCGTGTCCCCCAAAAATATCTGTCAACTAGTCTAGGTCATGATTTCCAGTAATGTATGATTGTCTACCATTTTGTCATGTGATGTGATTTCCCTATGTGTTGTAAATCCTATCACTATGATGTAATGAGATGGATTAGTGGCAGTTATATTGATCAGATTTACAAGATTAGATAGTGTCTTGAGCCAATCTCTTTTGAGATATAAAAGAAAGTAGCGAGCAGAGAGACAGGGGAACCTCGTACCACCAAGAAAGCAGTACAGGGAGCAGAATTAGTCCTTTGGACCTGAGGTTCCTGTGCTGAGATGCTCCCAGACCAAGGGAAGACTGATGACAAGGATCTTCCTCCAGAGCCGACAGAGAGAGGCCTTCCCCTGGATCTGGCGCCCTGAATTCAGACTTTTAGCCTACTGGACTGTGAGAGAATAAACTTCTCTTTGTTGAAGCCATCCACCTGTGGTATTTCTGTTATAGCAGCACCAGATGACCAAGACATTATCTTTGAAGCTCCCCAAAGGGAAAAAAAGTCAGGGTCACCTTCTCCTTTTCCCCTCCCTTTTCTCCCACAGTTACACAGTCATTTATCCTATACTTTCACCACCCAAACTGTGACATCCCTTCTCTCCCTGGTGCTCTCCAAGGCTTTGGATGCTCAGCCCATCCTTTGGACCACTGCAATGGCCTCTCAATTGGCTTCTTCCTCCTTTTCTTGCTTCTCCCCATCCCACCCCAATCCAAACTATTCTTCATCAGACTTTCTCTTCTAAAATGTGAGTCCGATTGTATCCTTTCTCTACTTGAATTCTTGTAACAATTGCCCATTGGTTACATCATTAAGTCTAAATTTCTCATGGCATACTGCAGAAGTCAGCAAACTACTTCTGTAAAGGGTCAGATAGTAAATATATTTTAAGCTCTGCTGGCCACATCCCCCATGTGTCTGTCAGTTTGTCGTACTGTGGGGGCTTGTGTGTTGCTGTGATGCTGGAAGCTACGCCACCGGTATTCAAATACCAGCAGGGTCACCCGTGGCAGACAGGTTTTAGCTGAGCTTCCAGACTAAGGCAGACTAGGAGGAAGGACCCAGCAGTCTACTTCTGAAAAGAATTAGCTAGTGAAAACCTTATGAATAGCAGCAGAACGTTGTCTGATATTGTGCCAGAAGATGCACCCCCCAGGTTGGAAGACACTCAAAATACGACTGGGGAAGAGCTGCCTCCTCAAAGTAGAGTCAACTTTAATGACGTGGATGGAGTCAAGCTTTCAGGACCTTCTTCTGCTGATGTGGCACAACTCAAAATGAGAAGAAACAGTGGCAAACATCCATTAATAATCAGAACATGGAATGTACAAAGAATGAATCCAGGAAAATTGGAAATTGTCAAAAATGAAATGGAATGCATAAACATCAATATCCTAGGCATTAGTGAGCTGAAATGGACTGGTACTGGCCATTTTAAATCAGACAATCTGATGGTCTACTATGCTGGCAATGACAACTTGAAGAGGAATGGCACTGCATTCATCATCAAAAAGAACATTTCAAGATCTATCCCGAAGTACAAGCTGTCAGTGATAGGATAATATCCATATGACAACAAGGAAGACCAGTTAATGTGACTATTATGCAAATTTATGCACCAACCACTAAGGCCAAAGATGAAGAAATTGAAGACTTTTACGATTTTCTGCAGTCTGAAATTGATCAAACATGCAATCAGGATGCTTTGATAATTACTGGTGATTGGAATGAGAAAGTTGGAAACAAAGAAGAAGGATCAGTAGCTGGAAAATATGGTGTTGGTGACAGAAACGATGCTGGAGATGCCATGATAGAATTTTTCAAGACCAATGACTTCTTCATTGCAAATACCTTTTTTCACCAGCATAAACAACGACTATACACATGGACTTTGCCAGATGGAATACACAGGAATCAAATCAACTACAACTGTGGAAAAAGATGATGGAAAAGCTCAATATCATCAGTCAGAACAAACCCAAGGGCAGACCACAGAACAGAGCATCAATTGCTGCTATGCAAATTCAAGTTGAAACTGCAGAAAATTAGTCCACCAGAGCCAAAGTACGACCTTGAGTATATCCCACCTGAATTTAGAGATCTTCTCAAGAATAGATTTGAAACGTTGAACACTAATGACTGAAGACCAGTCGAGTTGTGGAATGACATCAAGGACATAGTAAATG